ATCATAAACATTGGATCTTATATACATAACTACATATATCTATAATATATGACATAAATTCATAAACATACGGGATCGGAGCGGATATTCGATTTTTCTAAAATGATATTTGCGATTTGCTTCGGTTCTTATGGATACCTCATTTAGTATTTGTTTTGCTTTGAAACTTTATCGATATCAAATAGAAGCGGATGTGACAATTTTTTTGTCCGTCCCTAGATTGGATGATAATGTTTAGGATTGTTATATGTTATTCATATTAACTCACATGTTCTTGTAAAAACGTCATTTACCTGCAAAAGATGACTGTTAGACAAAAACAAATGTGTAAAATAGACTTAGGGTGCAAATGGTTGCACAATTAAAATAATAAAAAATGGTGGAATTATATATTCATCTTAGGCTCAAAACAGTTCCATTCTTGTGTAAGTTAAATCACTGTTCATGCTCACCTAGACATCAACTTAATCTTTGTCTTTGATCATGTTTGGTCGCTTTAAATGATATGCTTTCTTTTCGTTTTTATGATTTTGGTCGGATAAATAACTATTATTGTGTTTTATTTATATATCTATTTAACAGAAAATGAATTATCATTCATCACAGGAATTCAAAATGATTAACTAGATACATGGTGGTTAATAATTATGCTAAATGGTAAAAGAATATACAATCGGTACCATCAGTCTATTCGGTTCCTTTGTTTTCGTTTGTTAGTTCTTCGGCTTGGAAAATATTCCGCTGATTTAAACCAAATAAATTTTGGGTCCAAATAGTTTGTTTTAGTGGAATAAATATGAGAAAAATGTGATTAATTATAATAATAAAAAAATTTCTTCAATTCATTTTTCTATTCTACTGCGAAATAGTAAATTAATTTTTTCCTCCTAAATTTGTTCAATTTGTAAAATTTCTTCTGTTTTATCATTCACTAGTGTTAAGTCCGTTCTACGTACGGACAGAAAGTATAATAAAATACAATTAGTTTTTACATTTTACTGTTTTATTAAAATTTTGAAAATTAGTTTTTATCTTTTCAA